AATATTCTGTACCTTCTTCAGCAACCTACAGACATGTGAGTCAGTGACCTTGAGTATTCTGTATGCCTTTGGCATCTGGCACATCTGTATGTCCCTATGTTTCCTAGATCTGAAACTTGTCATATGAAGTAGTCTCTTCGCAGGACTGGCTGGTACCCAGGAAGGGATCTCTCCCAGCTGTCCGCCCCTGGTGTGTAAATGTAAAGTAGGGAAAAGAGGACACCTCACCTCCTACTCTGCCTGGGTAACCTGTTTTGTGCCAGGTTTCACTCTGCAGCACATCTGGTTTTATTCCCCTTCCAGAAAATCTTGTGATGGGCCCCATATTGTGTCCCAGGGGTGGATACCCTGCCCAAATCACCTCTGGCCCTGTCTGTTCAGCTGCAGGGTAAGGGGAAGCAGAGAGATTAATAGTTATTCTGTAAGTTACCTTCTGTTTGTTCACTTGCCCTCTAGTTCTATAACCACTGAGCATGTGGATCCATATCCCTCCTTGCACAACAAAGCTATATCTAATTTAATCATCTAGTGGCCTCTCAAGCATACAGATAGCAACACTTACATCATGCAAAATTCATAAGCTCCCCACACTTCTTGTCCCTTGATGCTAAAATATTCCAGTGTTCCTTCACAGATAGATATAAAATTTTGTTCTCATCAACAGAAGAAGATTTTCTTCTGAGAACTAGCAGTAAGCTTTAGCCTGTTCAACCATGTATTTAGAGACATGTTTCTGAGTCAAGAAATACATTTTTCTTATTCCCAAGATAACAAGCTGTTGTTCAGACTAGAGTAGCTTTATGTCCATTTAGAAGAAAATCTCCTGAGGGAAAATAAGGAGTAAGAAGCTCCATTCAGGATCAAAATGGTGAACCTTTACAAAAAACCTGTTTATTCCAGAGACTGCATGCTTTTGTCAAAAGGACCCTATCTCCAAATGTAGTCATAAAGGTTAGGCTCCACGGCAACGTCTGTATGGAGTGGAGGTCTCTCACAAAGCAGAAGCAATATTACAGTAGAGAATGCAGTCCTCAAAATTTTACAAAGACAGTCAAACTGTCAAAGAAGACTTGAAGGAAAACGTCTGTAGGATTAAGAAGGGTAATCTGATTGACTCAACTCTGTCCAGTGCAAGCACTGACTATGACTTGACCTTTGAGTCTGAAATTTTGAGATTAGGAAGATGGGCTGCAGGTTTTCAGTACAGCCCCAGCTGCATCCCTCTGCAGACCTGTTCAGATCTCAGAGGAGTGTCCTCACTGCGCGACAGCTTTCACATTTGGGGTGTCATAAGTATAAAACTGCAGTATTGAGGTGACCGTCATTCATTAAAAACAACAACGATAAGGAGAAATGTAAGTGAAAAAAATCAACACCGCTTTCATGTAAGCTTCCTGGTTTATGTGTTTCATTATAAACAGATAGTCTGGTGTGGGTTTGCCTGTGTTCTTGGTAGCTATTAAAAAT